AACTTGAGAAGATCCCAGCTCTCAGACCACCTGCAGACCATCCAACCAGCTCTCAATCCCCACACACGCACCTTTATATATATTTTTTTTTCCATAGTTTGATGCACTAGTAACTTGGCATGGCATTAATGTGCACTGCAATTCTTTACCCTTCATTCTATTATCTTTTGGGTTTGTTTTCTTAATAATTTGGGTAAAACTTGAGTTGCTATTAAAGTGATGAAAGTCTTGGGAAGTGCTGATCTAAAGCTTTATAAAGCAATAGCTAGAACATAGCAAAGTTATCCCACATTCATTGTTTTGCAAGGTATCTGTTGAATAACACTTTTGCTCCTATTAATTATTGTTGGGATTAATGTTTTTTTTCCTGCATTAATTTCTGTAATTTGATTTGCAGGCATGAACTAAACACACGTGTTTTATTATCATTTTTTTAAGAGGACAGTCTAGTCTTTTTAATAGTATTAATTGTATTTTCATAAACTTGCACTTCTGTTTTTTCAGACAGATGAAGTGTTTCTGGAAGCTCAGATTCAGAATATCACCACCTCTCCAATGTTTATGGAGAAGGTTTCTTTGGAGCCATCTATTATGTACAACGTTGCAGAACTGACCACAGTTGACAACACAGGGGAAAGGTATGTTCAGATTCACAAAGTAGCTGATATTTGACTCTCAAACTCTTTGTATTATAATTTCATGAGACAGAAGGAATAAAATTAGTGAGTTATCTGTAGCTGAGGGATTGTACTTCTCTTTGCTTGCTGACAAGGCAGCGATCAAGGTGGATTGGCGAAGTGCCCTTATAGGATCTTAGAATATAAATATTTGTCACACAGTGAAATAAATTAAAATGTCATTTAACATCAGTCTATAAATCACAAAATACCTGAAGAACTGGTGGTCACCAACAGTAAACCATTATGAATGCAAAAGCCTGTGATGGCTCAATAAAGGAGAACTTAAGCTTATTGTGCTTCGCAGTTTTTTTTTTTTTCATTTTTTTTTTCATTTTTTTTTCATTTTTTTTTTCAGAGGAGGTAAAATTTTGATGCTGCTGTAATGGGCTGCAGTGCAAATCTTCTCTTTTCCCCGCCCATGCACACATTCAGCTCTAGCCTAGTGGAGCAATGTTCTTATGAAGTGCCAAATACTCATCTGCCTCTCATGTTTCTTGTCCTGAATCAGAGCATAGGCTGGTAACATTGAGAGAGGTTCTCTGAGATTTCCTGAGATGTAGAATGAGTTGCTATTGTATATTGAGAATTAAAGAGTGCAGTGTATGAGATGCCCTCCTGCATCAGAGGCTCACATTCCCCTTGGTGTTTGCTGTCACAGTGTGGACTCTCAGCGTCTGAAAAGGCCTTATCAAGGCTGGCAAAGAGATTGGCAAAAAGTGGAGAGTAAAGAACAATGTGGTGGAAAAAAGCTCCAAACTAAGGGTTGCTGAAGATACTGGGTGACCTATTAGTCTTGAAGGCAAAAACCTAAAGGTCTGTGGTTTGATCTAATGAAAAAGGCTATGGCGATTTTAGAAAATAGTATGGTTCTTGTCAAAAGTATATAAAATGTGTTTTATCATGAATAAAGTATCACAAATGTAGTAAATTGCAGGCGAAAGTTGCATTCTTTTTTTTTAATGTCCTCTTAAAAATTACTTTAAAACAAATTTCTTGGAGTTTTTTTTTTTTTTTTTTTTAAGAGCATCTACTTTTGGCTCAAGGACTTATTTACAGCCTATGGATACACATCAGTATTTATCCTGCCTAAAGCCAAAGCAAGAATTTGCAGAGAAAGCTGGAGTAATAAAAGGTGTAACAGTGATTGGGAAACTAGACATCATATGGAAAACGAATCTGGGTAAAGGAGGAAGGTTGCAAACTAGCCAGCTCCAAAGAATGGTAAGTCTTTAACTTGGGCATCCATTGAAATTAGTCTGGCATTTGAGTGCCAGAGTCAAGAAATCTGTGCAACAAAATATGTTGATTAGAAGAAAATTGACTTGTTGAATAGCATCTGGAAGCAAACTAAGGAGGACCGACAAAAGAGCTTCTTTAATTGTGCTAACTTGACACAAAACTCTGCTGCCTCCTGATTCATGGACTTACACAAGCATATTTGAACAAAACAATATTTTTGCACAGTATAATACTATTTATCTCTCAGATACACAATTTTCAGTTCAATTTATTCTCATCTGGTAGATTTATAGATTGTTCACAGGTTGTAAGTTGTAATTACTGAGTTGTTTGACTTGCATCGTCTTTTGAATCAATGATAGTGAAAGAGAGAAAAGAAGTAAAACTGTTGTGATGATTGTAACTTAGTTGACAAAACTTGCAATTGGGTTCTCTCTCTTGGCATCCTCTCTCTCCCATGCTTGCTCTTGC